CTGTTTTAATCTACTTAGTAAGCATAATTGGGAATTTCCATTGAAACTGTTCCTCGTGAGATCGACTTTTATTCAATCGAAATACTATACTGCGATTGATAATTTGGTACGCTTGCCAATATTTCAACAGGTTCATTATCAGACCTAACAGTTTTAACATCATGCCCATACTGGTTTTTTACATAGACAACAAAATTGCGCAGCAAATTCCTAGTTTCAGCTTTAGTATGCATCATAAAAGCCCATGTATGTCTACTAAAATCATCAACAGCAGTTAGAAAATATTTGTGGCCATGAACAGACATAACAGACATAGGACCCCATATATCAACATGTATAAGATCAAAAATAGCAGAAGAAGTAGTGATACTGTGAGGAAAATGTAATTTGTGTTGTTTAGAATAATGGCAGATATCACAAACAGTGTTATTTGAAGACTGTATATAAGGAAATCTGGTACAAATCTGTTTTACAATTTTATTTCCTGGATGTCCTAGCCTAAAATGTCATAGATCAATACTGTTGTTTCTTTCATAGTTCAGAATAGTGTTAGAGTGAACAAAATCCTTTTTAGGAGTGGGAAAAGCCTGTAGATAATAAAGCCCTTTGATGATTTTAGCATGTCCAATCATCTTCAAGGTAAAACTGTCTTGAATCTGACACATCTCAGCAGAAAAAATTAGAGTGCAATTTAAGTCTTTAATCAAAGATTGGACAGATAGTAAATTGAAAGTAAAATCAGGTATGTATAAAACATTAAAAATGGTGAATTTCTCTGAAAACTATATTGTCCCTGCATAGTATGCAGTGACAGTGGAATTGTTAGGCAGTTTAATGCATATAGGGTTGATTTTATAGAAGGTAACAAAATATTCCTTTGTGTGTGTAACATGATCAGTGGCACCAGTATCTAGGATCCAAGGAAGGTTACCTTGCTGAGTGTTATGGCTGTCAAAACCAATATCTCTTCACTGGGCTTGATTAACACTGTGTGCTGGTTTTTATGTGTTCTCAAGAATTTGCAAAAACTTCTGTATTTGTTTAGGAGTGAACCCAGCAGGGTCTTGTTTAGTAACTTGGTTCCCATTCTATTTTGAGTCATCTTTGAGGTTCACATTACAAGAAGACTGCCAATTGTTGTTAGCATCTTGAGTGTTGTAATCTTGTCTTTGTTGTTTAAACCAAGGTGGGTATTCGTGTTTAGAGTAGCACTCATCTATGGTGTGGTTCATTTTATGACAATATGAACATTGTTTTCCAGCATTGGGATTCCTTCCCTTTCCTCTTCCTTGACCTCTCCATCCATTTCCACGTCCTTGAGATCTCCAACTATTCTGTTCTTGTTGTTTCCACCCATTCTGCTTATCAACCATGTTAACAAAAGCTTTATTCTCACTGTTGTTGCCAAGACTGCAATTTCCCTGTCTTTCCTGCCGTATTATGAGAGAAAAAGCTCTATTTATGCCAGGAAGAGGCTCCATTAGCAAAATCTGTGTGCGTACATTGTTGTAGGATTCATTCAACCCCTTTAGAAAGCAAATCACGTACTCAACTTCCCTGTTTTTGACAGTATTCCTTGATAATTCACACTTGCATTGAATGTCACAAGTGCAATGTGATATAGGTCTTCAGATTCCAATTCTTCCCACAAAATCTTTAAGTCGGTGAAGAATTGAGTGATGTTTCTCTCATCTTGCTTGATGGAGTGAATTTCTTGGAGAAGGTCAGACATCTTGAAATAATCTCCTTTTGAAAATCTTTCCTTTAGCTCATTCCGTAGATCCTTTGCATTATCAACATAAACAACACTGTTTGCAATTTGAGTAGACAGAGTTTTTGTGATCCAAGACAATACCATCATGTTGGATCTCTCCCAAGCATCATATAGAGGATCATCTTTTTTGGGTGTTTTGATGCTGCCATCAATGAATTTTATCTTGTTCTTGGAAACAAGAGCACGCTTCATATTTCTGCTCCATGAGGCATAGTTAGTTTCACTTAGATTTTGACTGACAAGAATAAGCCCAGGATTCTCTCCTGGATGAAGATAGTAAGAACTGCATGGATTTAAAACTTGGTCTTTCTGATCTTGCATGCTGTCTTGTGCAGGTTACTGATCGGAGTTGGTTAAGATCCAAGAATCGCCAAGAAGGAAGAAAGAAAGGAAGAAGAGAGGCGCAGCGGAAGCAGAGCATGTTATAAACCTGCTCTGATACCATAATAGGTTAGGAAACAGAGGGGAAACAACTCTGGGAAGCAAGAAGAAGGTCCATGGCAGCAGAGAAGAGAAGAAGAAGGTGGATTCGAAGAACTGCCGAGAGAAAGCGTTGAAACAGAGATTAAACCAACAGAGAAGAGAAACACAGGTAAGAAAAACAAAGAAAACTTTGTATTATTTGTATATGAAGCATTATTTTACAAAAGGGGAAACCTATCTTAAATAGGTTTCTGAGAACTTATACAGGGGGTAACCACAAACGGTTACCCTCAACTAATTTTAACAACTTTTTATATAAAGAAATACATTACATGATTTATTTTATTATTATATTTATAATTTTAATTTTTTTATATTTGTAAATAAATTACACAATAATTAAGAATTATAATCCAAACATAAGGAGCTAAACAAAAGGAGCCCAAATATAGGTTCAATAAAGAACAACACAAAAACAGGCCTCTACTATTGGCACCCCATACATTGTCAATGACGTGCCATTAAAAACAAAAAACAAAAACTTGTTTTTCTGGTATAATTAATTCTATTCACATTTTAATTTTTAAAAAAGTTACTTAAAAAGTTTATCAAGTATTCTACTTAAGAATTAATTCCACTCAAACAATTATTAAAATATTGAAAAGGAATCAATTTAGTTGCAAAATAATGAACCATTCTATTTGTTATCTTCAACGATTTTGTAAATTCAAGATTACCTCGATTCAATCATATTAAATTTTGATTCATTAAAAAAACTATATACTATTTGTCATAACTCATTCGATTACTACCTTGAATTATAATTAATTGAATTTTAATAAAAACAAATTGTATGATAATTAATTTGGCTAATATTAAAATATAATTTATTTATTTATTTATTTAGAAGAAAAATAGCATGTAGATAGAATTAATTACATAGCAAAATCAATTGTCAATTAAGGATATTCAAGTTATTTTACTTAGATATGAAAATGTTTTCATTGTATTTAGATTTATTTTTTTCATCATTATCAAATATTTAGAGGTAAAACTATTTTTACGTACAACTTTTATGGAACATATTTTTTTGGTTTCCTTTGATTTTGACAAGTATTTTTTTACATGCATTTATAACAATATAAATAGAAAATTGGATGGTAATTTAATACAAGTTAAATGGAATTATTATTGACTCATTTAAGAAAAAAATTAAAGTCAAATTAATAACGTATTACTAACATTTCTTTTAAACAATTTAAACCCTATCAAATTATTAATATATTATGTATTATATTTGATAAATTATTAAATCCTTTGATTTAATTATTATTTTTAAACATATTTTAGACCTAAAACACAGTTCTAATAAAAAAAATCTCTAAATAATCATAAAAAAAATTAAAATAATCGAACCCGAGCATGATTTTCAATTTAATATTTGAGTTAGGTTAGACTAAACTAATATTTTGTTTGAATTTTAAGGATTCAACTTGCACAATTAATTCAGCTATACGTTTAAGTCAACTAATCGACTTAATTTAATTTAATAACCCTATTAAATAGAAAGTCATGGCCTATAAAAAAAAAAATTTAGTTGTATTTTTTGAATTTTCCTAATTTTTCTTACGAATCATTTCGTTGCCACATAAATATACAAAATCGATGTATACCTAAACTTAGGGTATAGGATGGCTCACTGCAACTATTCAAATTTAATTGCAATAAACTCTTTAGTCAAGGGAAAATTCATGAAGTTTTATTATTGAAATTATAATAACACAGAAACAATATAATAATGAAAATGTGTTGATCATTACATACAATAGTATACATTCAATTTGATTCAATGTAAATTTATTAAAAACCTAAGAAAAGTAATTTAAATTGCAAATGATTTTCACATTTTAAAAACCAGGAATAATACACATAATTCAAGTTACGTTACTTCAATAAATTAATTTAATAATAAATCTGTTAGAACAAAACACAAATATATAATTAGAGCATGATTTTTGTTTTCATTTTCAATAATTTCCACCATAACTTCCGTTGTTATCTTTCAAAAATGATTATTCATTAGAAAATATGTTGTTTGAATAAATGTGGATTAGAAACTTTAAGACTAATATTAACTGTTTCTGGAAGGATTCCTTAAAAATTGTGGGCGTGAATGGCACAAAATTGTTGAATTTGACTCTCTAGCATGGTTTGGTGGGAGAATTCCATTGGTGCAATAAATGAGAAATATATAACTTAAAAGACATTGGAGCCATAAATTAGGTTGATACATCACCAACTACTCACAAAATTATTTACAAACTTTTATAAAAAATTATCGCAAATATTTATATATAATTATAAATATATGATTTAATAACTAGAAATATTTGTGATATATATGACGTTATTTTGAATTATGGAAAATTTAAAACCTTTTTATCAACAAGATAAAATATATTAGAAAGGTTTTTTAATGAATGTGAATGTGATGGATGATCGATCACCGTTTGAGCCTCATCTGATAGAAGAATTCGATGGAAAGTAGAAGAAAGCATGGAGAGACATTTCAAGATCTATTGTTTGAATAATTTTGATGGCATTTGTTTATACAATTGGACTCTATTTTATTCTCTCTCATTACTTTATGAGGGCATCAGAAAAGCCAAATCACCAAGAGAGAGATGATGAAAAGTGGCCATCGAATCCGATTGCCATCAAAAACACCAACCAAGTCATGAAAGAATTAACGTTAATTAACAAAATTCAACGGCAGAATTAATTAATCGGCTAAACTAATTAACTAGGAAAGCACATGATCAGAGGAAGAAGATGAAGCAGAAGAAGAAGTTAAGCTGAGAAGTTGTTCCAAGTACTCAGAGCCCAAATCCTCCAAGACCAACACATTTTGTGAAACCACATTCTCTAACTCCATTCCGTGATGCTCCCTTTTGGGCTTTTTGGTTATGGCTTTGGACTTTCTTCTCATGGTGTGTTTCCTCTTGAGTGCCAACACTGGTGAGGAACCATCTTCCCAGGGCTTGTTGGCCATGTCTTTGAGTGATTCCCTCACCACTTCTTCTGGGAAGTTCAGCACTGCCATGGAACCTCTTGTGGACAAAGCTGCTTGGTCATAGGCCAGTGCTGCAGCCTCTGCTGTGTCAAATGTGCCAATCCACACCCTAACCCCATTTCTTGTGGAGTCTCTTATCTCAGCAGCAAATTTCCCCCATGGCCTTCTCCTCACTCCCCTAAAGGGTCTCTTCTCTTTGATGCTCTCCTTTGGAAGTGGTGATGCATGTCCTTCTTTCACCACTTGGCCTTGACTTGCATGAGTTACATTGGAAGACACTTCCAGCTGTGACTCAGTGCTGATCAAAGAGCCTGAAGAGTTGGAATCTGAGGATGATTCCTTGATCTGTGAGTGGTCAGTGAAGGTAAAGGGATTATCAAGGGTGGTGGAAGTGGTGCTGCTGCTGTTTTCTTCATTGAAGAGAAAAAAGTCCTCCCAAGGGAATGATTCTGCACAAAAAGAAGAATTTACAAAGGGAGAGTTAAGGGTTCGGTACTGGAACAAACATGAATCAAAATCCATCTCTTTGATAGACACCAAGTGAATGCAGGTGTTTGGTTTTTGCGTTTTGTTTTCCACCTCTGTTTCTCTTGTGTGGTTGTGGTATGCTTTTGTGGGCTTAGAACAAATGTTTGGGTCCTTTATATACTCATTGAAAAGAAGGAAACATGATGACCAAAAGGTTCATAGTTCATAGATAATGGATAAATTAATAAAAAATGAATTACACTAAAGTTGAAGTTGGAATTATTGGTCAAGGAGGATGTCTTTGGATATATATTTTTTTATCTTCTTGAATCAATGGCATAGAGATCTAAGAAAACGCCAAACAACTCCTAAAAAGAAGTTCTTTTACATTTAAGGATATTTATTACACTTTATATTTTTACCTTATTTTGTTAGTTATTTTTACTCGCTGGTAAAACCTATATACACAAGTTTTCTCTTTTGGGTGAGTGATAATATTTGTTATGAAAATGTAAATGATTAAAAAAAAATGAAGGTAGAAGAATTGTGGTGATCGATATAGTCACGTGCGTGAAAGAAATAATAAAAAAAGCGTGGGCAACTGGAGAGGGAGGTTGGCAATTGATTCCCGCAATTATGGAGTGGCTAAAATGATTCAAAGGCTGGAAGGGAAGGGAAGGGAAGGGAAGGGCATAGTAACCAAGACTGCGTCTATTTGAGTGTCACAATCACTCTCACAACAACCTTTCTCTTTCTCTTTCTCTTTCTCTTCATTTGTCGCGTTATTGAGTGAGTAGTGAGTGTCTTTGTATTACTTGCAACCACTTGACATAGCACTACGATTGCACTCAAACCAATCCCCATCTCATCATATCCCTCCAAATAGGATAACAAAACTAGTAACTTCATTTCGTACGGTTGGCCCTTAGGTGGATTCATTTGTCATAATTAGAAGAGACTATAGTTAATAGTTTTATTTTTATATTTTTTTTAAATATATTTTTAATTATATAAATAATTTTTAAGTTTTTATTTATTAATTATTATTTTTATTAGATAAATTAAAAAATTTATTATGTTTTTATATTAAAATAACTAATTATAATTAATAATTTAAACTTAATTGATTAATTTTTATAATTTAAATTATAATATATTTACATATTTTAATAATATAACATAAAAAAAATATAATTTTTTTAATTATAATTTTTTTATTTTAAAATCAAAAAAACGATTTGTTGAGCTAAAATTACTAACCTGCATCATGATCTTTTAAGTGGACTAACAGACCAGTAGGTGGAACTTATCTCATTTTGTCATTTCTACCTCTAAGTTAGTGTTGTGAATTAGAAATTAGGAAAAAGAGAAAAAAAAAAGTGAATTTTATTATGTAAAATATTGACAAATTTTAACAAAATTATGGTATCATTTCTTAATCTTATTTTAATGTATAATATTTAAATAATACATTAAGAATTTGTTTTTCGTTTTTCCTTTAAATTAAGTTTTTTTAATTTATTTATTCATTTAGACATTATTTTTTAAAAATCTTATTAAGAGGGTGTAAAGCACCTATTAATCTGAAGTTTTAAGTAAATATTTGTTTAAATTAAATCAAAATCTACTTTGGAATGGATTAGTAACCTACATTAAAAAACAGGGGATATTATTTAAAAATTATTTCAAAATTTAATTAAAAGTATATTATCATAAAAGTATATATTATTTTAACATATTCCTTATTCTTTGAATTAAAGTGAAAAACAATAAATTTCATCTATTTAATTTAGCTATAATTTTAGACATATTAATCACAGTTAAAATTATAAATATAACATTTATTACTTTGACTCCAATTTTATGCTAGTTTTTAATAAAGTGTTAAACCATATTTAATAAAATTTAATTCTCCTTATATTTCAATATAACTATTAATTAAGATTTTTGTCATAACAAAATTAAGAGGGGAGAATACCCTAATCCAAAACAGTAAAAAATAAGTATATTGCGACAATTTATATAAATACTAATTTTTCAACAAAATAATTCTTTTAGTGACTAATTAATTGATAAATTACAAAAGAACTATAATAACAAAAATTAAATATTTATGAAATAAATTTGAAAGAAAACATCATTTTAAAAATTGATATCTATAGCATTTGTATAGAAAAAAAATCACAACTGCTTTTTATATAATTATTTTAATTTTTTACTAGCAGATACGCAGATGTGTCTATGTCTGTCTGTGTTTTTATTATATTTTTATTTAACTTATTAAGATTTAATGTATATATTATTTTAAAAATATAAATATTTGTTTATAAAATTATGAATTATTAAAGAGAAATAAATTTGAAGTAGAGTTTTATGAAGAAAACAGAGACAAATTGAAGAGAATGTGTGAGCGAGAAAAAAAATCATCTATTTTTATTTATATTTTTATATTTAAAAAAATTAAAAATACATAATTATAAGAAATAAAAAAAGATAAAAACAATATAAATATAAATTATATTTTTATGATATAGAAAAACAGTTATAAAATGAATATTTTTTTATATATTATAAATAACTTTTTAAAAATATACCTAAGTGCGGTAAAACATTATTACTGCGTGAGGTGAGTTGTATCTGCGTAATTTTTATTTCAGTTAAAGGAACCTGTCTTTATTTTATATACATTAATAGATTCGATGCCCAAAACAATATGGGACCCAATCACCCAGGCTACGTGTCACATCAGCCGCCAGTGTGCCATGTTTACCCCTACTCCCAACGGCATATAAATGTATGTGACAATTTTTAGTTTATAAGCTATAATATATGACTTAATTAACCTCTGTTAACTTTCATTTTCTTCACACTAAACTTAATTTATCTCTGAATTATTATTACCATGTAAAGCTCTACAAGTTTTTACCATTATTACATGATGTTAGAAACCTAATTAAACACTTCTGGATGATAAAAGTACGGTTCAAATTCAAACTATTGGTTCTTCTAGAAGGCAAAAAGGAATAGGAAAGTACATCGAGCCTTAAATCATTATTATTATACATATAAAAGGTAACAGAAAAAAAATAAAGATTGATAATGGATACCGTTTTCATTAATGATTCTAAAAATGTTCAGAGAATGAATGCAGAAGAAGGGCATATATGAATGAATAATGAAACATTTGAGTGTTGGTCATGTAGATGGTCAAGTTGTGCAATAAAGCATGTGCCACTTGGTAATATTAAATGTTTGGAATGAATTGTTTATTGAGGGAGGAAGATACATGCATGCATCCTTGTGTCTCTCTGATCTCTGCAACTTGCAGTGTCACTAATGAACATATTTGACATTTCAATTCTCTGATAAGGAGTGGTGGTTTTATGATTTAACAATTGCCTCAGACAAGGATCAGCTGGTCCACCAGATTGTCCAAACTCAGTTTCAAAGTTCAAAGTCAAGAGGAATAACATACAGAAGCCATTGTTGAATGCATCATTTTTCTTTCTATTTCCTTCCATTATTTTTGACGAAGCTTGGGAGGACACAATTACCACCATCAGAATGATGACCTTCCAGATACGTAAGTTGATCGTATGGCGCCAATTAAGACATTCATTGTTTTAACACTTTATCTGCCACACATTTTTCTTCTTTCTATCAAGTCAAATTGATGTAATTAGTCTTGTTAAATACATGCAATAATGCAATAGTCTTCTATCTTGTGTATGTTTCTAAAATATCAGGTTTATATTTTCTTTATATAGAAATTGTATTTTGAGTATATTAATTTGCACGTGATAATATAAGCAAGTGAGTCAGATTTTTTTAATAGACAAGCTAACAATCATTTATCCCTTTTAACTTATATTAATATTTATGATTTTTATCCCAAACATAATAATTATTTTTAAAATTTTATAATTTTTATTAATATTTATAATTTTAATTTTCCCATACCTAATAATTATTAAATATATTTTATAAATTTAACTTCTTATTCTTTCGTATACTTTTATTTTTTTATATTTATTTATTATTTATTAATAATATATTATTTGATTTTTTCAAAATTTACTAGTCAAGATAATATATATATATTGTAGTTACGAGATGAGAAACATATTGAAGACATAGAATCAATAGTAGAAAAATCAAGAGTCTAATACTTATAAAAAGTCCATAAAAAATATTATAAATAGATGAGTAGTACGATACGAATATTATTTATTTTATCACTTACTCTTACATCCTTAAACATCGAAATGTCTTGCCAACTATATCTCAACTTAAAAATTGAATAACAAGACAATATAAATTGATAGAATATAAAAAAAATAAAATTAGACAATCTAAGAGCATCTTCAAAGTAAATTGTTAACCAGAGTTGTTTGAGAATAAAAATGAAGATTTTATTATAGGTTCCATAGTTGAGTTGCTTGAAAATAAACAAAAATTACTTAAAATTAGAAGAAAGTTATTTATACAAATAATTCTTACTAAGTTTTAAATCACTAATTTATGTGATTTATAATAAATATTTAATTTTATTCTTAAACAATTTTTTGTTAAAAACTCACTTTAATCACTACAAAAAAAATAGATTTTTCGATGGACAAAATCCATTGATAACTAAGAAAATCTATAAAAAATTACTTAAAATTAAAAGAAAGTTATTTATACAAGTAATTCTTACTAAGTTTTAAATCACTCGTTTATGTGATCCATAATAAAATATTTAATTTTATTCTTAAATAATTTGGTTTAAGAATTCACTTTAATAATAAAAATATAATATAATATTTTAAATAAATATAATATTAAAAAGTGTCATATAATATTTTTAAAATATTAAAAGAGAAGAGATAAAACTAGAGTTGACTAACCCTCAAGTAATTATAGGGCGTATTTTTCTAATACACTTATAATAATTTATTTAAATTTTTTTATAAGGTTTTAATGATTATACATTATTTTATGTAAAAACATTATATTTTGTATCAATTACAAATCAACAATCAATACCTTTTATTATTATTATTATTATTATTATTATTATTATTATTATTATTTTTAAATTGTTATTATAATAGTTATTATTTTATTATATATAAGAATTTGTAATTATGTAATGTTATGTATGTGTATTTTTTTATTATTATTGTGTCTCTGTTTTTTTCTTTTATCTTTCTAATGATTAAATTATAGATAGATAAGAAAAAAAATTCATGCATTTTAAAGATAAAATTAGAAATTTATTTTTTCTAATACAGTAACTTATTTTAATACTTAATTAAAAAATAGTAAAAATAAAAAATAAGGCTTTAACTTTTATTTTTAGAATAAATAATTTTTTATTTATTTAATAAAAATAATTAAGTCTCTCGTTTATAAAGGCCTAATTGAAAATTTTTAAATTTAACTAATTAAATAGTTTAGCTTTGTTACAAATGTAAGATGAAATTTCAATCGAAAGTTAAAGATGTGGTACTTATTTATTTAATGCTTTTAAAATTAACTTTTCAGTTTTTTTTTTTAATTTAAAAAAATAAATTTTGTTTAAGAAATCTTTTATTCAAATAATTTTCAAAATCTTTTTAAAATTTTAAAATAAAAATAAAATGTATTTTCTATTTTTATTTATATATATATATATATATATATATATATATATATATATATATATATATATATATATATATCAATCAACAATGTGAAAAAATGGACTTATTTGATATTAAGCAAAATATTTGTGTGAATAATAAATTCTGAACGGGTGACATATTCTAACACTATATGTATAAACCTCACGTGCCCAAAATTGAATTAAGTATCTTTATATTTCTAATACATCACCGTAATTGGTAAAAACTTATTCTCAGGTAACAAATAACAAAGTTTTTAACTTTCAATACTTACAACAATTATTCATATTTATTAGTTAAATTAAAAAAAAAAACATAAATGATAGTAATTTAAATTAACTTTCTTGGAATTATTCATTAAATAATTTGATGTTTGGATTAATTGGAGTTGATTTTTTTTTTTTTTCCTTATAATTGTCAGTAGCTAATATATATTATACCTTGCAACTTTGAAGAAGGAAAGTTATGAAATCTTAGTTATCAAAATTGTTATCATTTTTCATATTTAAACATCATTTACGTTATTGTCAAAATTTATTTATTGTCAAAATCAATTTGATGTCAATACATCATTAATACGACCAATGAATTACATTAAAAAATAGAAAATATATTATGCATAACACAATTTGATAAATTCAACCAAGATTTATTTTTTTTATAAAGTATAATGTATAAAATAAAAAATATAATTCCACATGTAAAATTTTAAAATATTTATTATGATAATTCTTACTAACAATATAAATTCATAAATTAACAATATAAATTCATAAATTAAAAATAAATAATGCAAATCCATTAAAAAACTTTTTAATATATATTGTTGGGTCTTTCGAGAAAGATTCACATGGGAGAAACACATTAATGAGACATAAATTCAACTACATGAGAATTGACATCAATCTCAACCAAAAACCTTAAGGCATTAGATTATGAGTCATACTTCCTTATGTTAAGTATTTTTAAGGGGCTAACAGTAAAGAGATTCTTATAAATGATTCATGAGTAATATATAAGGAAGTATGACTCATAACCAAATGCCTTAAAATTTTGGATTGAAAGTGGTGTCAATCCTTATGTGAGTTGGATTCTTGTTTCATTAGTGTGTTTCTCCCGTGTCAATTTCCCTTCGAAAGACCCAACAAATGGTATCAGAATCCGAAGGTTGATCGGTAGTATAGAAGCGTGGTTTTTGTATCAAAAGTCTTCCTGGCAAATTGAGTCAGGTAAGCGTGTCCCGTTAGAGTGAACGACAGTACATGAAAGGGTTATTGTTGCGCTCGAGGAGATGTACCAATACGAAGGAACTCACACTTGAGGGGAGATTGTTGGGTAATCGAATTGTGAGTTAAGTCCCACATTGAGTAAGAATGAGAAAGTTTTGTGAGAATCTCTTGTTAGCCCCCTTTGAAAATTCTTCATAATAGAAATTATAGTGACTGACTTAATTGAGTATAATAAGTGAAAGATTTGTGTGTGGAAAGTTTTCCTAACTAGAATTTCAGGCAAATAATATTATTTTATTTTAATAAGATTAATATATATAATAATTATTACATTAATAATTATAATTTACATAATAACTATATTAATTTAAATAATAAAAAAATAATTTTAGTAATAATATAAATTAAATTATTATCATTATTATTTAATTTATTAATTCATACTATTTAAAATAAATAAATAATTTTAGAAAATACGATTTTTTAAAGTCGTATTATAGAACGACTTGCCCCCTAGATAAATTTGATAAAAAATTACATCCATTTTAATAAAAAAATCGTGAGGCAAGGCACATCCTATACATATTAATTAAAATATGTAGTGGGCAATATCATGATTTTTCTAGACCTTAAATTGACCATCTACTTTAAAAATAAAAATTGACATCTCTAATCGTTAGAAAGAAAAGTGCAGTGAATTAAATAATTAATTATGCCGAAAAGCAAAGTGTTCAATTTTATATTACAACGAAAATGGAGTCAAAAGATTGATGAATTTGAACAGGTCACAAATATATGATAAAATATTTCACTGGATTTACATCACAATGATACATTCCCTACTTAAGCAAATCATATTATCAAACTTCGTCTTTGCCTTTAGGATAATACTCGCATTCCAATCTCACCTTTTCTACTTATTGCAACAAAACCATGTCATCTCAAGCTCAGTATAGATTCTATTTTGACCTTAAAATTCACCAAAGTTTATCCAAAAAAAATTATCTCAAATCTGATTTATGTTGGTAGCAGACAGTGGCTTTTATTCTTCCTCTTTGAATGTAACGATTCTACTGTTTTACATTAAATGCACCGCCTGTTTCTTATCACTGAATATGGCAACTTGTTTTGACAGAAGAAACTTTAAGATAAGGTTTTCTTTTCTTCCCACTGTTTAAGGAATTAAAATAGTTATATAAGACTGTATTGAAAATTATAATATAGGTAGCTTTTATATTGTCTTGTATTGTTTTTTTAAATTAGTTCATAATATAGTTATTAAAGATAAAAATACAAATACAAAATAATTGTTAATTTAAAATTAAAAAGTAAATGATGCACCCACGTGTTTGCCCACGACAAGTGCGAATAAGCCTTGCGTCCCAGCTTCGTCATACATGCACGCACCTTGGATCTTTTCACTCGCCTTCGTGTCAACTTCAATACACTCCAATAATTAAATATTATAGTTTGCAGAATCTATTCAACTTCAGATTCAAACCGTCACATACGACCCTCTGCCTCTGGTCAATCCTCACCAAGAACAATACTTACCTCACACATAAATACTATTGCTGCTATCTGCATCCATACAATAACCTATTTCTCAACCAATACGTAACTACGCGACACACTCCTTTTCCAGACACAGTAATAATAATTTGCAACGTTTTTCTTCTTCTTCTTTCTATTTCTAGATTTGTTGTTAATGGAGGGGGGAAGCTCATCGGTTTCAAATGGAAATGTTGAGGTTCGGTATAGAGGGATTCGGAGAAGGCCATGGGGAAAGTTTGCTGCAGAGATTCGTGACCCTACAAGGAAAGGGACTCGGCTTTGGCTTGGAACCTTCGATACTGCAGAACAAGCTGCACGAGCTTATGATGCTGCTGCTTTTCATTTTCGTGGCCACAGAGCCATTCTCAACTTCCCAAATGAGTATCAGTCTTCTAATCCAAACTCTTCTTTACCTATGCCTCTAACAGTTTCTCCTCCTCCTCCTCCTCCTTCTTCTTCTTCTTCTTCTTCTTCTTCTTCTTCTTCTTCCTATTCTTCTTACTCTACTGATAACCTTGCGGGCCCTGGTTTTTCTGGAGAAATCATAATGCAAGGTGACGATACTTTTGAGTTGGAGTACTTGGACAATAAGTTGCTTGAAGAACTACTTCAGATGCAAGATAACAGACATCTCTTCAAGTGAATGCAAACCAGCTAGGTAGTATTATTGCAGGCAGACCAAACTGGCACGAAATAATAAGAAAATTTGTTGTTAATTTAATTTATTTTTGTTTGATTTGCTTTTATAGCTGATCATCATCAAAGTTCTTGGAAATGAGATTGGACATTTGCTGTTATTGTAAGAACTCAGTTATGGGAATAAAAGACATGGAATGATCTTGTAATTTTGTTAGAATGTTTGCTAAGTATTGTGTGCGTTTTGTTGCTTTCTTGTGTTCACACCCATACATTTTCTGCTGTTTTATCCAAATTCTTGCCAACTTAAACAATCAATGCATTACATTCTTATTTAAAAACAAATCTTATCAACAACAACAAAAAAACTACTAAACAAAGGATGTAAACTCTTTGGATCATATAATTAATTAGGAAGAAAGGGGCCAATTGATAATGTATATGTACATCAGGGACAAAATATGAAACCCTTGCATATCCCTTCAAATATTTAAAGATCAAATTGCTAATTAATTAATGGCATTCCCCATAGAGTGTAATTGCAATCTTCATAGGTGTCCTTTAACTATAATTAATACATAATATATTTTGGAAGGTTTCAATCTTCATATAAAGGTATAATTACAATCTTCATAGGTATCCTTTAGTATCATAATGAACTTACATTTTATGATCTTTGCATCTCTATCTCTGTGTTTCATGTTCTCCCTTCTCCTTGAATGAAGAAACTTTGAACTTGAGATAGTGTCAAGGCTCTTTGATCCATCACCTGTGGAAGATGAAAGAAGCTAAAGTTTCATGGTTAGTAAATGCAGGCCTATGAAGGAGATATTGTAGTGTGGCCAATCATCGAACTCCAACAGAGTTATCAAAAATTATAAATAGAAGAATCTAAACATACACACGGTGTTATAAACCTTTGTTTTCTACTTCTTATCATCATATCTTCAAGTCTGGATTATTACTAGTTAACTAGTTTAGTTTTTGGTTATCTACAGAAATATTTTACAATTGCTCCTGTATATACAAATACAAGGTTCGTGTGTTCCTAGCTTATTCACAGAAAATATTAATAACATTCCAAACAAATAGATGATGCAGGGAAACAAACTTTTTCCAGGAGCCACACACACCACGCAAGTTATGGAAAGGAATGCAATTCACCACAATGAATTGGAAGCAACATCTGTAAGAAAAATAATAAAAACAATTAATTAAGTTTTCTGATAAACTCTATTTACAGTGAAACCATTAAATATTTCTTAATTATATTATAGTTATATAGAAAAACAGATACAACCATAAGATTAATGTTCCTTTTGGGCTTACATGTGGGACACATATAGAGTAATTATTAAAGACATCTCAATGTCCCAGCAAAGATATTGTGTGGTGAGTGGGGACAATAAAAATTCTTCCATTTTCTTCTCATTTCTTTCTTTGGATTAAGACTTCCTTTGTCTCTGTCTCTCCCTGTATACAGACTTGGTTTATGTTAAACCTAGCTGTATCAATTTAGCACAGAGCCCACCCGTGATTAAGAAAAGAAACCTATAGAAATAATAATAATAAAAGTTATGTAACTTTTCATCATACTCTTTCTTTATTAAAAAATATATATATTAAAAATAATAAAATATTTAATTTAATCTTATAAAATTTGGGACAAAATTTTTATTTATATTATAATGTTATTATATTTTTATTTATGTATTATAATATTATTATATTTTTAGTTTACGTGAGATTTTTAAATACTTTTTTCATATGAAAAGGATTTTTTTTTCTATAACACCTCCTCCTAATGTCATGTAAAAAAAATGAATAATTCAATGTTAGTTTGATAAGACGTAATTAAGTCTACCATTATAACATCGTTACAATTAACTTTAATATCATCTTAAAAAAATATAAATTAAAATATATTTATTTTTCTATATATTATATTATATATATCAATGTATAAGATATAGAATATATGTAAGTTGGACAATAAAATATTTTATAATTATACAAAATCTTAATCAAATAATATTTTTGTAAAAAAAATCAAAAGAGAGGAATTTTTTCTTTCAAAAATATAATTTTTATTTCATAATTTTAGTATTATTATATATTAAATAAATAAACAAAAAAAGTACAAAATGTATTTCCTTAAATAAATAATAATAATATTATTATTATAATATATATTAAAAAAATGTGTCTTTAACGACAATATATTACATATCGACAACCGATGTGAAATATATCACGGAAACATTTTTGTGATTTTCGGTGTACGTATAAAATCTAGTATTTTCTAAAATAAATAAACAAAAATATGATATAAATTTCATTTTCTATATTTGTCATAAGTCAAACTCACTTTAATAATGATGCTGACCCTTATCCATTTTATCAGGAACCATGGGAGTTGAAGCTTTTTTAACCTACTCATTAGGAATGGGCTAAAACTAATTAATGGATTATGAATCAAATTAAAAGTCTATTAAAACCTAAATAACCTTAAAAAAATAAGTTAATTGATAATACTTTATTAAAAGAACTAATTGGTGGAATATAATATCTTTTGCTAGTACCATATAATTTGAATCTATATCTAATTTTCAAAGTAATGAAACCTTTATTTTAATTTTTCATCAAATTAAGTTATGAAAAATATATTCCACACCTTTTATATTCATATAATATAAGAGTAGATTAGTAATGATTGGTTCAAAAGAAATTAATCTTAAAATTCTTAAATAAGGTTTCATATTAATGTTATAAATACTTACACGAATAAGACACTACATAATTATATTAATTTTATAAAACTTATGTCTTTCCCACTGTTCTCAACTTAACGACATAAATTTTTTCATAAGTATCATATATTTTTTTTGCTTGGTTTAAATCTACTTTCAATTTATGTAGTTTTATAAATGTGTGATTTTTTTTTCAAATTTTAATTACAAGTTTTTTTTCAAAATTATATATTTTTGTTCACTATTAATATTACTCAATTTTTAAAATAAATTATATTAACATATATTAAATTTTGTCATTAAACCTTAATATTAATATCTTACATAAATGAGTAATTAACATTATTATTATTTGAGTATATAATATTTTCGGTTAACAGTTGAACAATAATATTAATATTGGAATAAAACTGCTTTATTTTGAAAATATTGAGAACTAAGTTCATAATTGAAATTTTATAGAATCAAAATTGTATACTCACAAAGTTAAATAAAAAAGTTTATTATTAAGCATTTTTTTTTCTTTTTCTTTTAGCTATGACATATACACTGCAAAAAAAAAAAAAAACAACTTAGTTTGGAGTTCAATTTTCTTTTAAGGAAACTGTTTGGATAAACTACTATTAAAATTTATTCTGAAAATTTTATTGAAATTAGTTTATAGACACATCATAAATTCTTTGAAAAACACGCAAATATTTTTATCATAAAGATAATATAAATAACTTATAAGATCTTTGAAATGAGGCCTAAAACAAAGAAGAAGAAAGAATGGTAATGGGCCTAGGAGTGGCCTTATTAGCAAGATATTTGGGCTGGGTTACGATGTTAAAGGCCTTTTTGCGACACGTATAAGAGGTGAGGGATATACCATTATGAAAATCATTATTTATATCTATTAATTATATTTAATATATCTATCATATTCATACCCATATAGTAGATTTTGAAAGTATAACATATTTTTAAATAATATATATATATATATATATATATATGTATTTTTTTCAAAACTGATTTTTAAAGAAAATAAGCATATATATATTTTTAACTAGTTTTATATTTAATATTTATTAATATAACTTTATTGATATTTTAAGGAAAAACCCTAACAATCAAATAATGAGATTCTAGAAGAAGAATTAGGATAATTGATCTGGGAGCCTTTACACTCAAATTATTATGGATTATTTTATAATTAAAATTATTACTTTTATAAACTTTTTTGAAAAGTATTTAGAAGTTTTTTTTAATCATTTGATAGTAGAGATACTATTTGTTTAATAACGGGCAGAAATTTTGCTCCGGAGTATTTCTTATTTGTTAAAATAAAATCACAGTAATATCATATTTTGTTTTAGGTTCATAAATTGTTCCTTTTGAATTATATTTTTAAATTTGTGGATAACCATATAATTTTGTAAATATATAAAAATTTACAATTACTTTTCAAACAAATTATTTTTATTTGTATACCAGTTTTAACCTAGAATGATTGAGTTTGTCCCTTTTTAATTCGTGTTGTTTGTAATTCATCAAAATATATGATAGGATAAATTGTCAACCAGTATGTCAATATTTTTTTATATTAATTTTAAAAAAATACATTTTTATTATATAAATAGTTTTTTTTTAATTTTTATTTATTAATTAATATTTTTATTAAATAAAAAAGTTATTATATTTATATATTAAATACTTGATTATAATAAATAATTTAAATTTAATTAAATAATATTATAATTTAAATTGTAATATTATAATATATTTTTATATTTTAATAATATTATTTAATTATAATTTTTATTTTTTATTTTAATATATAAATATTTTTTAAAACAGATTAACAAATTAATAACCAATCCACACACACCCACTGAAAAAATTAAATAAAATGAAATATTGAACTATTTTGAAACAAAATAATAAATTTATTTTATTTTATCATCTCAAAACATTTAAAATAATATTCTAAATCACAATTTTTTTTATTTTTTATATCTTTACTACGTCATTATAAATATTTTTTACTTTAAATAAGATTACAAGTTAAAAAAAATAAAATAATATTCTTATTTTTCTCTTTTCTTTAGTCAGTTTTTTTTTCCCCAAGGATTTATATATATATTACAGTCTAATTCCTAAATATATTCAAATGAAAAATAAAAATAAATTTGAAGTTAGAACATGAAGTCTTAATTAATTTTTCCCTTTAACCTTTTAAATATTACTTACTTCATAATTTAGTGCCTCTACA